CGTCAATATTAAAGCATTCAAGCACTTTAAATTTATTAATCCGGTAAAAGTATTTTTTCAGCCCCTAGCTTGGAGCCGCATTCCCTTTTGCATGCATATATATACACTTTATTCCAACAAAATCTCCATGGCCCACAAGTACATATACCAGTTAAACCTTGTATTGGGAAGCTTCGTCATGTAGTCGATGGAACGAGCTAAGACACTTAGAGGATTATTGGTAACTTTAGAGTCATCTTTGATATGGATTTCATAACGTCCTGGATCTGACTGCCCTTTTGGCCTGTAATCTACTTAATCCAGTTCCTACTCGCATCTCCTTGTGCACCGAATACTCAATTTCTTATCCCCCCTGTTCATTGATTTTATTTGGCCAATGCCATTCTATTTGTGTTAATGACGAGTTCGTTGTTGAAGCAATTGATCTTTTCATCTGCTTATTTTCACTTTCAGGTCTTAAAGTAGATCACTCCGACCGTTCAAATTAATACCCCATTCTGCTTAGTGCAATATTCCATGTGAGAAATCTTTTAACTTTCCTCTTTTCTTCCCGATCCATTCCTTATTTGCTCTCATTTGATCGCTTTGGCATAATTTGGTAACATGATCTCAGTGACAAGTACGAGGTGACCGAGCAAAATGTGGCCTACCTGGCTGCGCTCGTCTCAGTATCCGAAGAAGTTCGCAGCCGTTGCCACCTCAAGTATAGGGTTCCTGGCACTTTGGCACCTAGTGAGCAATCCTCCGCATCCATCTCCACGCATGCACACGTGCACCACACATACCAATACATAAATCCTCATTTGAACCATCATGCGCAAATGCAAACTCATTTGCAGGCCCATCCGAACCTCCATAGACATCAAGCAGACCATCAGCATCATCCACAACATTGTTTCGGCATCAACCAGTACCATCACCAACCCGGAGGTCACCATTACTCGTTGGTGCCGTCCCAATCACTAACGTCTGGTCCAGGTCGATTGAGCGGTCCGACATTGAGTGGATGCGGTTGCCCCGTTGCGGGGTTTTGTACTGAATGGATGAGCTCTAGTGAGAGCCTTCAAGAGGTTGGATTATCGCAGACTTCAGGTCGTAGCCTTACCGGAGATAGAAACAGCAAATCGCCAGGTTGGTCTGGCGCCAGCCAAGCTTCGGTTTCAGAGACTACTGGATTGGTGACTTCAGCCGGAGCTGTCCGTGTAAATTGGGCCTTAGCAGGTCAGTCGCTGCCGCCTATTACTCTGGCTTCGTATAAACCCGGCGGACCCTCTTCTGCTACTACCATAGACAGCACGCAGGTCTTGGAGGGTTCATGGGTGAGTCACTACTCTCAATCAAAGCATTCTTTGATTTTTGAGCATTTCAAACTTATGTCAGACATGATTTACATATTCTTTCGTCTCCTTAGATTTTAGACTCAATTTCCTTATTACTTTATGCTTATCGCATAGCCTTGTTTTCGCTAAAGGTATTCCAATCCAGAGTGAAATATAGTTTCGACCTCGCCTAGGTGTTATCAACACCCCCAGCGGGAGTTGAACCATGACAGTGCAGGGTTTATCAAAAAATTATATAACATTCGCCTGAAGCTGAAAGAATGAATTCTGATTAGTTAGTCTCGCGCTATTGATACAACGAACTTCTTTCAACCGTGGTAATATGATTATGGTTAAAAAGCGCATGGAATTTGTTCAGCCATGGTAGCTGCTCACTTTTATTCTATACTATTGTATATTTGTGCATTTATACATTTGTATAAATGTATAAATTCGCTTGATCATATGCCCACTCAAATATTTTTGGATAATTTTGCCTTTACTTTCCCTGCTGCTTGAGCTTCATTTTTCTTGGATTATCATTAATCTGTATTTTATCTTGCTTATTGTTCTTTCACCCTTTTCGGAGGCACAATTTTTCGTTAGATCCTTTGTTCTTTATTGATATGGTTACTTTTGCTTACACCCTTGTGCTTGTTTCTATATCTATGTCTGATTTTAGTCTTTTCATCCATTATCCTTTATCGTAATATTTAATATATTTAGCCGCGAACTTGTGAATCCTGAAGCGATATTTTTGCACCAAATGTCGTAGTACGTTCGATCTGCTATGATTTACACTAACATGTTCAGATAGCACCTCTGGTCGGAGTGGGGACCATAGTTCCTGCGAAATTGGACTACTTTTTCAGTGTAAAAGATTAATGAGCCAGTGCTTGACGTTGTGTTCGTAAGTCTTCCATGTCAAAAGACTGTGAGCAGTACTCGTATGTAATCTGAGTGCCCCAGATTAGTCGGGACTTCAAATTTTGGCCTGCTAGCACATAGACACACGATACACACTGCTATGAGAAGCAGCTTGGTTGATACCGTCTGAAGTTAAATATACTTACATACATTCATCCGCCTGCAC